TCGTGCCGACGAATTCCTCCCCCTTTTAGCCCGCAGGAGGAGCTTGGTCCAGACGAGAGCCCCTTCCACCTCTAAGTACGCTATGAGGTATGTCTCTAAACGTCCCCACGGTATCCCGCTCTTAGTAGGTCCAGCTGCCCCCCTTTCGGCGAGAGCACAGAGACGCTGCCAATCCGGAGTAGGCGCCTCGTCCCACCTAGGCTGAACTCCGTCAGTCGTAGGTCCGTCTTCGCCGGGCGTCGACGCCGTCGCGCTACCAGCCTCCAAGCACTCTTTCAACCAGCGATAAGCGGCGGTACGCGCCGCCGCACGTAAGCCTCGACGATCAACTACCGGAGAACTGTCACCAGGGCGTGAAAGTCTTCCGTCTTCTCCTCCAGCATCAGTTTCGACGGCGGGCAACAGGATGTTGGCACAGACGTCGTCCTCACCTCGATCCTCCACTCGTCGGGGAGTCTCACGGCCCTCGTTCAGCTTCTCCGACGGCGACGACCTTCTTAGGGTAGTAATAACCGTACGCACAGCATTTACTACGGGCGTCTTGAAGTCTCGGTTGGACCGCTTGGCCTCCTCGGTCGTCTCCAACGTCTTCCGGAACCAGTCTTGCCAGTGCTCCGGCGATGCAAGCTCTCCAGGGAAGGCACGGCGAGTTCGCTCCAAGACCTCGGGCGAGATGCCCAACAACCGAGACAACTCCGCTATCGAAGGATCCCTTACGGCCTCAGTGTTTAGCCGCACACGCTCCAATACAACGGCTTCGTCCAACGGGTACAAACGGTCTTCTAACTCCTTGTCATATTCTTCACTTTCCGTATTAACTTTCGTGCCAGCTAAAACCGTAGCCTCTTGGCCGGGCTCACACTCCTCCATGGCGTCCAGTTCCGCATCCGTGAAGATACAGCCAGTTTCAGTTTGCTCGATCTCCTTGCTCGGTTTGGCATCCTCGTCCGTGTCAGCCTCCTTGTTCCTGTACGTCATAGCGGCGCTAGGTCCATCAACACTGCTTACCCCTTCCGCACGCATCCTTCGTTCCGGCCGCGTCTTCTGCTCCACAGGCAGAGTCTCCACAGAAACCGTGACGCCGTCGATAGCGACCGTAGTTCCCACCGTAGAGGCCACCTTGGATAGATCCACGGCTACCTTCTCACACCGTTCCGGGGTGTCGTTCACCACGACAAGGTTTCCCTCTTCTTCCGTGCCTACTATCCGGATACCCCTCTTTTCCTTCGACTTTTTCTCCTTTTCCTTCGTCTTCTTCTCTTTCTGCACCACAACAGCCACCGCGCTGTCCTCTTTCCCCGTCACTGCTACCTCTTCATCAACGTCCACTGTAACGGCCTTGTCTCCTCCATCCTTCACTCGGCCGCCACTCGAGTCATCCACTTGACCAGAGGAAGGAGTGACTCGTTCTTCCTCTCCCTCACGCTCCCGTCATTGACGAGACGCTTCGGCCGTCGACGCCTTCAGAGTCGTGGCCAATCCCTTCAGAGTAGCGATCTCGGGACACTGAGAGACACTATGACCGATCTGGTGGCAGTAGAAACACCGCATCGTCGAGTTTCCTCCTCCGTTTCCACCGCTAGGCGGGCCACGGGCCCCGGTATACGGCACCTCACACTCAGCCACAATATGACCGTACTGGGTACACCGTCGGCAAGTCATCGTTTGGCGCGAACACGTCACGCGAGTGTGACCCTTGTAGTCGCATCGGCCACAGACAGGTTCTCCTTCTTGCGTGTGGGCATCCTCCGCCATCTTGATGCCTCGACGGGCACGATTACCTCCGAACGGACCAGCTCCACCAGCGGGAGGGAGCTGTCCGTGGCCTCCGGAGCTCGGCACCACCGCCGATACAGTAGGCACCGCAGCCGGCGGCACGGACTGCAAATCTTCCATCACCTGGTGTTGTCATTCCAGCTGCTGCAACAGGAAGTCGTCCAGCTTCTGGGTTAGAGCGTTCACAGTCGCCGTGTAACTATCAGTCCTCGCCCGCGACTCGTCAGGAAATTCGTCGTCTTCCTCCACAGGACGATGCATGTCCTTAAACATTAGCCACTCGCACGCCTCCGGAATATCTCGAGCCGGGCTTGAATCGAGAGCAGCCAGCATCCTCTTGTTCTTCAGGCCACGACGGAACAACTGATACCGCATCTGAGGGTTCGGATAGTCGAGGGAGTCGCACAGGTCTGTGACTCGGTCTCCCCATTCCTCCACTGACTCGCCGCGTTCACGCTTAGTGAAGTACAGTCTCTCCCAGAGCTCGTCGGCCGTCCTGCTGAGGAACCGGTTGTGGAAACGCACCTTCAGCGTCGCGAACGACTTGATGCTGGAGTTGCTCCACCATCTTTCGGCCTCACGTCCCTTCAGCTTCTGTCGAAAACCAACAGTCGCTCTCTGTCTGGCAACCGGTCAGTGTGGTCCTCGAACAGCTCCCAGAAGTCGCGCGCCTTCTCCACCGTAGCCGTGTCCGAGTAGAACATCGGCAGCACCTTCATCACAGTCGACATCTTCGTGGTCCAGTCTTCACGCCTCGGCAGGCGTGACAGCCCAGGCAGGGACCGGACCGGTGGTCGAACACCAGCACGCGGAGGGGCCTGCGGACCTCGCGGCACCACTGCCGAACGCGGCGGAACGCCCGGGGCGCTCCCTACTAGTCCCGTCCAAGCAGGGCGCGGACCAGTCCTACGGATTCCAGGCGGAGCAGGATGCGTCCGGGTCGCCGCGTTACTCTGACCTCCCGTAGCAGCAGTAGCCGTCCGAGCAGTACCCGTCCCAGACACGCCCGGTCCCGTGGTCCTGTAAGGGCCCACCGGATTGGCAGTGACCGTCTTCTTAACAGCGACCGGCGGAGCCTCGTAAGGCTGCTGGGGCACGGACGCCGTGTACGCGAACACCGTGTTGTCCGAGGGTGCGAACCCCTTGGACGTCCAGCTCCAGTCAAACGCCGGCCGGTCCCAGCGGCGCTCCTCGGTTCCAGTGTACTGCGGAATGAATCCACTGGGGCTCTTCTTCTTGGCCGGTTCCCAATTCTCGACGGAAGGTTCGTCCTCCTCGTACTGGACGAACACTTCCCAGCTGCCGTGCTCATAGGCAAGTTGGTAGTCGTCCCCAAGAGGAACGCCCTCCCCCACCAGGGGTACCTCATCCGGGCCCGGCGACACCGCCTCCGTACCGGGCGCCGGCTCCGTTTTCACCTCTCCTTCTACCTTGACCGCTTCTTTGACACCACCCGTCACCTCCAACCGGCCTTCTCCAGCCGCCCGTAGCTCGTCGCGCGTGCTCTTACGTAGAGCGTCCCGATCAGCAGCGGTTGTCACTCCCACAGGAGCCTTCTCTTCCTCATCTTCCTCGTTTACATCCTCCGTCTGAGAGTCTCCCTGACTCTGTCCTTCTTCAGCCGCCTCTCTGGCAGCGGACCGCCTCAGGTCCTCTTCATAGTCGTCTTCCACGTATACCGACATGACACTCTTCTCCAATGCTTCCCTCGTCAAACTCTTGTTCCCAATACTACCTTATGCGCCCCTGGGCTCGATACCAGGAATTCCGCGCCGAATAAACTCCAAACTTCACACCCCCTTATGCGCCCCTGGGCTCTATACCAGGAATTCCGCGCCGAATAAACTCCAAACTTCACACTCCCTTATGCGCCCCTGGGCTCGATACCAGGCGTTCCGCGCAGAAAATCACACTCCAGTCCCTATGCGTCCGGGCTCGATACCAGACCTCCTTGCACTACGGGATCACACTCCACGACGTCTCCGACGGTTCTTCTTCACAACGAAGACCAATACCCTGCTTCTCCACCACGTGTCGCGAGCCGTCCTTGGATGGGACGGTCGACGCTGTATAGAAGTAGAACAGTACGGAGATATAAACAGAAGCAACAAGCTAAAGACAAATGTCAACACAAATTCTTTTCTGCTTGTTGTCTCCAAGGAAAATTCACGACTTACCTCTTACCTTCTTCCTTGCGACCCGCACTTCGTCCTACATGGTCCTCGTTCCCGCCGTCAGGCACCGTTTCGCAATCATCGCCCACGATTTTGTACACCACGACAGCGAGGCGGTACCGCTCACCCCACCGCCTCACCGCGAAGATACACTGTCCTTCAGTAGCTCCGGTCCCCCATGACTTCCGTTTTCGTCATCCACGGGGACCGTACGCTCTAGCCGCACTTGTCCCACGGAGACCGAGACCGGCCCACAACTTCTCAGCGACTCCGTCGTGGCCCTGCATGGCTTCATCGAAAGCGTGGCCCACACGAATCTGGTCGGCCGTCGAAAAGAGCGGAGGAGGGTAACGGAGCTCACCGTGCCCAAGACGGTGGCCGCCAGAACCACTCGTGACACTTTTGGCAGTGCAAGCACGATGACAAGCGAAGAATAAAAATTGAGAATGAAAACCTCGAAAACTAGATTGATCGACTGCATAATACCTGTACTACATGTAGAAGATAACTCTAGCTTTTTTCACTCACTTTTCTACAGTATGAACGGAGTGCACTCCAATCAATTCGTACATGCTGAGACCGGCCACATTTGCTACGTATGCAGCTGGTTACGCCGGAGTCCAGTCTGAACAGGTTCTCTTGCAAACGAAGTACATGTACACGTTTGCATGACTGCAGACAGCGGCCCAGCAAATTGCTGAGCAACGCTGGGCGATATATGCATAGCCCTCTGATCATTTGCCGAGTCAATTCTGTATTCCATCAAGTTACGCTTCCAAACAACACTACCCTTGCTCGCTATCGCCTAGCTGCGATGGCGAGAGCATTTTGCCGCGGCCGTTGGAGATTTCGTCTCTGCGTTAGTCGTCGGCTCTGTAGCGACAGGCGCTTCGGTAGACGTCTCGTCGTAGTCTGCAGCAATGCTAGATTCCTTAGAAGCAGTCGAGGCAGAAGCCGTTGTGGTACTTGGAGTCTCTGATTTCGCCGTAGAAGTGGGCGAAGTCAAGTCGTTACTGGATGAGGTGGCGCCCTTGAGAGGGGCGCAGTTGGTAAATACCTGCCAAGGCGGGCTGTGCAGCGCTAGCCAGATAGCGGTCAGCATCGATTTGCCTTCGCAAGCAGCTTTATCGTACGGGAAGCTCGCAGGGCTGTCGGGATAATTGACAGCACAGTTCTGGTCCGCGAAGACCAGCGTGTCATCACACCAGATCTCGCACGGACCGTCGTGGCCAGTCGTGAGCTTGTCCCATTGTACTTCATCGGGCAAGTCGCGCGCCGTGCCGTTAGTCCACGAGAAGCCGCACTCGATGGTGGCCGTGCCGTATAGCGAGTCTGTGTTGACCACCTCGTTCTTCCACACGAGCTCCTTGAGAGACGTGTACTTACTGGCGTTGAATGCCGTCCAGTACGCCTCCGTGTTCGACAGCGGGTCACCCTCGTACCCCATGCCGTCCGGGACGGGTAGCACACTCGAGCTGTCCACCGTGCCGGCCGGACTGTTGGTGCCGTCCTCATAGATCCACGTAGGCTTCGGCAGCGACATCTTGCTATGCGCATCAGACGACGCGGCCATCGCAGCCAGCATCAACACCACTAGTGCGGACGAAGTGGTGACCATATTAGCCTTGAACAAACGCGTGGAGATTTAATAAATGAGTAGGTTGCCACCAACGAGCAATCTTCTCGCAGTAGAGGAGCAAAAGAGCAGCAAAGTTGACACCCTACGGCTGTAACAGGAGAGAGCTCCTTGATGTGAAAGGAATGACGGCAGCCGTGCTGACTATGTCATGACAAGTTAGCTAAGCCATACGGAATTGCGGCGGTAAGATCGTATCGTCGATGTACGATCCTAGCACATCGTGTTCAGACGATCACGTGACGAGATGATACAGTACAAACTCTGATCAGTGGAGCCCGCTGCCGCAACTTCGAAGACAATGGAGCGAGTGGATCCTATGAAAAAAGGGAATCTGTAAAGCACACGTAGTATCAGTACGAAAGCTCCAGACAAAGCGCGTCTTTGTCGACCAAGGACACGGAAATCAATGTACATGTACCAGCAATACATGCGTTATAGATCTCCCACTGACGATGTTCGTTATTTTATTAAGTCGATACACTCTGGGAAAAGGAATATTTCAGATTTAACACATACACGACACTACATGTACTCTCAAACCGACGAATACTGTCAGTGATGCACGGGACGGCTGCCGTTGAGCAGCATACTTAGTGACGGCGACGGCGCACCGAGCACTTATCAACCGACGGAGCAGCTGTGGCAGGGGGAGCTTCAGTGACATCGTCCTCCGCGTCCGTGCTAGCCTCGTCATCCGTGGAAGAATTCTCCTCCTGCTCTGCGTCACTCGAGGGAGCCTCCTCCTCCTCCGCACTAGCCTCTGTTTGGGTAGGAGAGGTGACAGTGGGGGTGGCTGTCGTGGGTACGGGTGCAGTCGTACCGGTAGGAGTGGTAGCTGGAGTGGTCGGGGCTTTCGTAGGTGTGCCACTGGAGCTACTAGCGGTCTGGCTCGTGTTAGATGACGACGACGCACCCGTCAGCGGCGCGCAGTTGGTGTACACCTGCCACGGAGTCGTGTGTAGCGCGATCCAGTACGATGTCAGCATCGCCGCACCCTTGCATTTAGCCTTGTCGTATGGCAAGTTGGCCGGCGTCTCGGGGTAGTCGACAGCGCAGTTCCAGTTCTCGAACACTAGCGTGTCGTCGCACCAGACCTCACATGGGCCTTGGTGGGACGCCGTGAAAAAGTCCCATTGCACCTCGTCCGGTAGGTCGCGAGGCGTACCGTCGACCAGCGAGAAACCGCACTCGTTTGAAGCGCTTCCCTCTAGCTTCTGAGAGTCCCACGACAGCTCCTTAAGCGATTTGTACTTGCTGGCGTTGAACGCCGTCCAGTACGCTTTGGTATTGGAGCCCGGGTCGGTGGTGTACGACATACCGCTCGGAACAGGCAGCACGTCCGATGGATCGATGATGCCGGACGGGCTGTTCTGGTTGTAGACACCTTCGGGCCAGGTCGGCACGGGCACTGTCATCTTGTTATGCGCCTCGGTAGTAGTAGCTAGCACAGAGACGGCTAGCGCAGTAGCTTTGACAAAGTTCGAGACCATGTTTCACTCAGAGGAGGTGGTGCGTGTGTTGGCAAGACGGCGAATGTAAGAATGAACGAACTAGTCGAGATGGTTCCGAGGTTGTCGGGACAAACCCCGCCGACCAGAGCTGGGGAAAGGAGCGGCCGTGATGGCTGAAAGTAGACGACGTTCTTGATTCGCAGCTCAGTACCGCCCCCGTGCTGGTCAGCTTTCGCGCAATCTGTTCGCTTATGCTGCCTGCCGACTTTTATTCTTTACCGTCTGGTATGGTAGCAGACAGCTGGGGTGCGCCGAGAGAAAAGTGCAGAAAAGCGGCCGGAATTCCCTGGTTTGAGCGACGGACACCGAGAGCTGCTTGACGCCGGGAAGCTCGACGAGAAAACAGGAATACATGTACGTTGGTTTACAGTGTTTAGTCACTAAATCGACCCGCAGTGTCGATACCTTTACTCTACAAAGCTCGAGAGCGGAGATGGCTCATTCTGATCTATACTCACGCTAGAACTAGGCTTGCGGCGAGGATGACCGTCATCTTTGGTAGATGATTCAGGCAGCTGTTGCAGCGGTTTCTGATCGAAATGCAGGCTTAAGTTTTTTTAAATACATGTACTTTACCTTTATAATACCAGTTCAACATGTATTTTAACCCTGCCACTGGCCTAGCTTCACGATAGAAACAGCTGCTGGCTTACGAAGATTTAGTCAACGTGACTTGTTGAAAAACTACGGGCATCACGGTTGCTGGTCTGTAGAAGCAGCGGAGCCGTCCTCCACGAGAGTCACCCGGCGCTCAAGGCAACCCTGGAGACACTCGAGTCGACCGGCACTGCTAAGGCGGCGCACTGCTCTTTAGACATCTTGTAAGCTACTTCGAAGTACAGTAATAAAGACCTGTCTCCCCTCGCTACATGTCCAGGGTGGGTAGGTAATGGTATAGGGAAGGTTGCACTCGACCGTGATCTCACATTTCAAGTTGACGAACTTGCACCACTCGCGATTTGACGGCACACCAAGATGGCGTGACGGCTACTTCGATCTCCTTCTCTCGAGCTCATTCAGCCGACGACACACGTGCTGCTGTTTTGACATTTGCTCATTCAGTCCCTCATCACGTACACCCTTATCCTTTATCCTTTCGAGATTTTGCGAACACCACACTAACGAAGAGGCTAGGCCACTTCACTCTTAACTAGCGCAATAAACGCGAGAACACAACTATTAATACTATAAACATGGTGTTTTACAGTGCTGTAGTGTTGCTGTACACCTAATTTCCTTTGAGTACGCGCTACAGTACAGAAACTTCCCTCGAGGACAAATAAAAATATGTGAGCACGTAGAACCTGTTGTATGAGGCTGAGCTCGTGCTGTTGACGCCACGACTTCTTCCGGTAACCCATATGCAAATACGGGGGAATAATTGCCACTCGCGCGTATTAATAATTGCTTCATCTTTACACATTGCAATAAACATATCTTCTTACTAGCTCTCTACCTCAAAACAAGTCTTATATTCTGCTGAGATGAGCAACTATCATAAGGTAGACTGCTAGGCAGTTTAATTCGATTGTCGTGTACCCCAGTAGAAATGTTCTGATCACGCGCTTTACGTCGTGCGGCTTCCAGGTTGAATGTACCATCTCGAAGTGGGGCAAACAAATTAGATGCTGAAGCTACGAACGAGATGTTTTGTCACTACGCGAGCCATATCTTAAAACTACTGGAAAGATTGCTAAAGCTTAAAGTAGCGTTACATAACCTTAGTGCAAAATGGAAGCTGCAATCCACGCTATCTCAGCCCCCGCGAAGCTCTAGTTTCGAATGTACTGTGCCTTGCACGAGAAATTTTCATAATCCAGTACATAACGTACTTATGTTTGCAAACTTTGGTTGCTCGATGAAGCTCGCATCAATACCATTTTAGCAATTTTTCTAGATTTTTCGATTCTGATATTTATTTAAAGCTCTTGTAAAAACCATTCTAATAATAGTGTTTTGAGCTGTATTTGTGCGAAATACACAGCCAAATTTTTAGTGTTAGAATGAAGATGGAAGGGCCGACTTCAAATTTGATATACTTGAAAACTCCAAATGGCTCGTCTAGGACATTTAATGTATTATAAGGTGTATTAAATATAGGAAGAGATAAGCATAGTCGAGTACGTATTCTTGTATGATTGCTTGATGTGTACTAGACTATGCTTACATGTAGGTTAGGGATAAACGCTACATGTAACGGCTATGAGACCCAACGATGTTGGATCTCAGCTGAGTGGAAATGTTCTGGATAAAAAAGACCTGGTAGTCGATTTTTTGTGAGAAGGAACGCATCATATTTGATCGTAGTACCAACAGCACAAAGTCTTAAGCTCCTGTTTCTTTTTAATGACAGAGACTTGGAGGATGACTTCTGCAATGAGGAAGCGCAATACTTTCGATAATATGCAGAATCTCCTGCAACGTACGGCATCAGTACCTTAGGAGGGTAGTAATTGCACTTTGTTGACCTTTATCAAAGAGTATGTTGTTCAATGAGCAGCGCTGTTTCAGTCTAATTATTAATCTAATTAAACATCTGTTTTGAGCCTTAGAGTATCCCTATAATCTTGGTACTAATATTATCTCGGCATTATAAACTTTTCATAAGTCGAGTTCTCTCTTATTTGTTTTAGCAGTACAACAGCGGATATGTACAATTCACGGACAGCGCATTTCAGATGACTTTGTACCTCCCAAATTTGATCCTCTGTTTAGGAAGGTATTATTGATCGAGAGATGCTGTCATTTTCCATCATCGAATAGATTTTATTTTACCCCAGCAAGGTCTATCGTAGGACAAAATAAAGAATCAAAAGTTTGCTTCACTTTTGTGACACCACTGCTGGGAAGAGCAAGCTTTTGTGGCCATGTGTGCCTTTCATCTATCCTAAGGATGTCAAACTTGGTGTCCAACTACGTCCTGATAGACATAGTGGCAGCCTCAAAAGTGTCTCTTATAGCATAACTCGATTTCATTGTTGTCCTATTGCTTGGACAAAGTCCGGGTTTACTTTGAGCTCAATATCGCAAATGCGAGCGGATGGGCACCTAATCAAATAACAACATTTAAATACGAGAAAAAGCCACATAAGTGTGGTAGCGCTCCCCAAAATTTGGGCCTATTTAATAGACCCGTACTGTCCACTTTAAGAAACTACATGTATTAAAATATTCACTTATACACAAAAACCATTTCTAAAAAAATCAAAGCGTATGCTCGACAGTTGAGCTATTAAACGTGCTCCTAGATTATAAAAGACAGTGACGATCGAAGTGTTTGGATAAAATTCAATTCACAAGAAGGCTCGTGAGCTTCACATCCAGGTGGTTGGAATGTTGCCACAGTCAAACCTGATTAAATGTGCAACAGTCTGTTTATTTGATGCAGCTGATGGAGCATAAAAATTTATGCTCCATTTAGTATTTAATACTCACTTGACCAAAACCCGAGCTTTTTTTAGGAATGTCAAATACCTAATCACCATTCAGCAATGTTCGACCTATTAATACCTCATCGCAAAGGCGTATGATTCCACGCTGCAAATATTTAACCAATTATGTTTTTTCATTTTGAAATAAGCTGTGCAACGGACATCATTAAAAGGTACTAAAAAGTACCGTCATTGGATATTGAAGAGCAACTCTAGATATTGCTACATTCTTGCAATACTGTAGTTGTGATGAATTTCTTCCAGTATCAACAAAATAATAATTGCATTTTTTTTACTTTTTGGAAAGATAATAAAAACCGTTGAAATATGCTACGAATATCTTATACTAAGTATTATTAGCAAAAGATCGTTGGATGTATGCATTCTGAATGATGCAAGACAAACACCTTCGCAACAGCCCTAATGAGACGGCGCGTCTAGCTACGGCCGTGACGGCGAGCGCATTACCTCCCCATACTGAGCAGGTGCTCCGAATTAATCATTGATTTGGAATTTCAAAACAATATTGTACCAAACATTATTTATTTCTGAGATGCCAGATACAATATTGTACAAAAAATTATTTATTTCTGAGATGCCAGATATCACTTTCAATACCGATAACTTATTTTCACATGGTGTGTTTTTTTGTTTACTTTTCCGTGTTTTTAGCTTTAAAATCTTTTTATATGGAAGGCTGCAATAATTTATTTTCGCCGTTGAGTTCAGAAGAACAATATCTTATTTCTAAGGGCTATGATAATATTACTGCAATGTTATTATCGGAACACCTGATACTGTCGGCTATGGTGTGGTCATTCATGACAGGGGCTGAGGTTCTAGCCAGAGTAAGTGTAGGGGGATGTCTGCAGTGATTTTCTGTCCGTTGTTTGAGATCGTCGGAGGTGTCGTTGTAGCTGTCGGTGCAGCTCCAGGAGATGTCGGATCAGTAGTGGGTTGCAAGGTACTAGAGTCCGCGCCTCCAGTACCACCATTAAAATTGACACAGTTAGCTACGAGCACACAAGACAAACGTTAGTCCGTTGCTAGATGACAAGATCTGAGCAACTTACTGTAAATCTGCCACATAGGGCCGTGCATATACCAGAAAAAGGTAAGTCGCGTGGCCTCCTTACACAGCGACTTGTCGATCGGAACAGGTGCTGCACCTTTGCCCGGGGGTGGATTGTAGGTCTTATCGCCTGTCATGTCTTGGTGGGCGCGGTTATCGCCGCACCAGACTTCGCACGGACCAGGGTGTACGAAACCCTCGCCCACGGTAATATCGTCACTCCTGTCCCAGTACACCGTGTTGTTAACCGCGCCGTAGCTGGTCTGTTCCGGCGACGAGAAGCCACAGGAAGCCGGTGCCTCGCTGGACACGAGCACCTGGTTATCCTCGATCCCTGCCCTTAAGCTCTTGTATTTGGACTTCTTATAGTGGACTTGACGTTGTCAGTCGGGTCCGTGTCGAATGTTCTACCGGGAAATAATTTGTTGCTGTCAATCGTCGGCGTCTTGTCGATGCTGACACTGATGGATTTGGCCAGCGGTTGCACTAGGTATACGTGGCTGGACACTAGGTAGGGCCCAAGGACGGCCACCATCGATAGAGTGGTCGATAGAGTAGGTGTCAGCTTCATTGTTTTCCCTTTTATTCGACTTAAGCAGACCAGCAATTCAATGCCCAGTCATTTTCGGAACATATAAGAGAGTGAGCGTGACTCAACTATTGACGATCTTGGTTCGTTTTATACGTCGAAGTACCTTTACAACACGAAGGAATTTCTTACATGTACCGGCATGGAGCGCTCCGCGTTGCAAGGGAAATATATATATATTTATATATATATATATGCAACACGTTCCTGTTCTTGAAGATAGCTCCAAAATTTAAGACTGATGATCTAGCGAGGACGTGGCAATTGTAAGGTTGAAGTGATTCAGTTATCACGTTACGGCTCGCTAGCCTCCTAATACATGCATTGAACGCAGCGTCTTATTTGACGACTATAAGCTGGATCTCGTCTGCACTTATGACGGCACCGCGGTCGGCAACTCAGCGACGAAAACTAAAGCTGGTTACCCAACCGGCGTTGTCGCTCCAGCCGCCATTTGTCGTGCCTTGGCTCGGTGAGACCGTGCCGGTGGTCGCTTGGACGTCGCTGTAAGCGTTAGGCTGCTGTCTCCCCGACGTACTGGTATGGATAGTTGGGGAAGTCGGCCAGCCTCCGTTCGCCGTCCACTGGTTCGAGGTGCCAGGGCGGCCGGTGTTTGAGCCGGTTGACGGCGTAGTTGAAGTGGATGCACCGGTCTGTGAGCCTGTTGTAGACGTCGTCGTGGTAGGTGGCGCTAAAGTAGCTGTTGAAGCTGTCCCCGACGATTGAGAGCTAGTAGATGCCGTAGCCGTTGGCGTCACGCTAGTCGAGTTCGTGGTACTGACGACCGCTCTACTGGAACCCGTCACGGCGTACTTGGACGTTGCACCTGTTGAGGTAGTACTCTCGAGCGGCGCGCAATTGATATACACCTGCCAAGTAGACGAATGTAGCGCCAACCAGTAGAAAGTCAACGTGCTGGTGCCCAAACAGGCATCATGGTCGTACGGTAGTTCAGCTGGAGCCGAGGTGTAGTCTGCAGCGCAGTCGTTGTCTTGGAACACACGAACGTCGTCGCACCAAACCTCGCATGGACCTTCGTGAGAGGACGTGAAGCCTTCAGTGGACGAGTGTGACCACTCCACATACGTCTCCGGTAGGGGCTGCGCCGTCTCATCAGGATCACATGATCCGCAAGTAAGCGTAGCATCCGTGACAGTAACCGTGGCCAAGGCATTGATCAATTGTTTTAGGGATGTGTACGAGCTGGACTCGAATGCAGTCGTGAAGGCGGCCGTGTTGTCTGCGGGTGAGCCTGAGAAAGTGCCGATGAACTTCGATGCGGATGCCTCGATGGTGGCGATGAACTGCGTGTTGTCCGTCGACGACGACAGGAAAGTCACAGCCGGATCGGTCATGTATCCATGTCCGTTCGCTTGTGTGGCGAGTAGCATCGCCCCTGCTAGGATCGACGTTAAGAGAACCATTGCAACAGGATAAAAGTCTTAGTTGCGGAAGGCAGGGATATTGGAAAATGGCCAGAGAGCGAAAGTTCACGCCGTAGAAAAAAAGGTGGGTCTTAGTTGAATAGGATTCCAGGACGTTTGCTGAGTACGTTTATTGAAGCGACTAGCTCGAATCTGGCTACAAGCTCACTACATCTATCAGACGGGGATACTGTGAGATGATGATACGCTTTTGCACGCAAAGGAAATGACAGGAACGACTAGTGAGCTTGAAAGCACGGCCGATGCAATAGATTGTCGTCTTTCGGAAGTCTTTTTACTAGAAAAGAAGTTAGATAGAGACTGCAACGCTATTTTTTATCTCTTTTATGACACGACACGAGCTAACACACTAGTTCCCTCTCAAACGGGATCTTCTCGAGCTGTCTACTCATCTACTTGCGACGAAGACATTTATCCGAGGTAGTAGACGTGCTAGGCGCAGTGGTAGTACCGGCGCTCGACTCGTCCGTGGTAGATGTAGCGGTGTCATCGTCCGACGAAGCTTGGGTGGTAGCAGCAGTGTCGCTGGCCTCATTGCCAACTTCTGAGCTAACCGTAGTTTTAGTAGAAGACTTGGTGGCTGTAGTCGACGTTGAGATAGATGTTTTGAACGATCCGCCAGCGCCGCTGCCAGGGATAATGATGTCGGCGCACGTCGGGTACGTCTGGTTGGCGACATCCGAGTGCCAGAAGAACTGTAGAGCACAGTCTCCAGCGTTCTCACAGCCCGTCACAGTAGTGGGGATGGTGGCCGAGACTGTGAAGGTACCCCCCGAGGTGGCGAAGTTGCTGAAGTACCCGATCTGCGTGTCGCGCTTGTAGGTGATCTTGCCGATCGAGTCGGTACTGGGCTTGACGATACTCAGCTTCATGTATCCTGGGTGCGGTGCCTGGATAAAGTACTTGACATCAAACTTCTTGCCAGCCTCGAGCTTCGTCACATTGTTCTCGGGCTCGTAGACTGTGCCTCGACAACCGTTTAGCATGTTAAAGGTGGGGGCCGCCGGTTGGCCGGCTTGGCCACGCTGGCTCAAGAGCTCGATAGGGGCCCACTCCAGCTCATCGTCGCCGGAGCCCTTCAGGCCGAACGCACGGTACTTGGCCGTGATGTGTCGGTAGGCCGGCACCAGCATTTGGCCGTGGCCGTCCACAGTTGTGGTCAGCATGATGGCCGTACCGGCCAGTGCGCAGAAGACAGCGGACTTCATGTTATTGTCGAGAGGAAATTGTACAATGGAGGGTGGTTAAACGGCCACGAGAACATTTCTAACCAGCAAGAGCAGAGTGACTTACATGATCACTTTGACGTGCAAAGTTAGCTTCTACTGGACCAGATGGTATCAATCAATAGACGCCCGGCACAGCGCGCACGATGACCGCGAGCCAAACACTGCCGTGTTGCGCACAGTCTTGCTATAATACATGTTATTCATCCTGGATGACTCTGCAGTACTAGCCGACACTGTTTTGCCTTACCAACATCGCTTCAATGACTCGGAGGCCTGCCTTGTAATCCATTGGCACACATGTCCCTGTCGGCTGCACGTATGTAGAGGACACGCTAGCGAGTCACGAATTAGCATCCTAAGTGTGGAGGTGTTCGTACAGTAGAACATGTATTATATATCGTCATGGGCCCAACCAAGTTAACAACCTACCGGTAGAAGCTTAAAAAGGTATAAAAGGTGGAGTTCCTTCGGCAACAGTCCGCAGTACACTACTATACAGACTGAAGCATGGGGTCGTTTTGATTAGATAACGGTCCAACAAAGTGTATGCTACATTCTCCAAATCCGAAGATTATATAAGAGTGTAGCCATCTAGTCACTTCAACAAGTGCATTACATCCTCTATATTACTCTTAAAATATATAACAGGTCCTTTAAAGTACCCGCAGCTCAATCTATTAATAGCGTCTTCACAAGACGTCGCATGCATTTCTCTCCAGTTGAGGAAGGCACTGGAGACTCTTCGGGCGAAGCTGGTGGTGCCGATGGAGTGACCGTCGAAGGCGTCGAAGGCGTAGAAGGAGTTGTACTTGGCGGCGAAGTCGTGGCACTGGTAGTCTGTCCGCTCAGGCCACCACTTCCAGTTACCAGAATGTCAGCGCACGTCGGATACGTCTGGCGAGTGTATTTAGAAGATGTGTCTCTCTTGGTTGCCCTGCACCGTGATGGAGCGGTGTTTGCCCTGGGTGAGGAGCGGTGGGTTTTTGCTGTTGTTTGTTGTGCTGTGCGGCAAAAAGAGGAATGAGTAAACAATGTTAGGCCTGTCCAGTAACGGTAAAGTCATACTCCCCAGGCTCTGGGATAGGAACAGCCAGCCGGGTGACGGAGCTGTCGTGACCCCTGGCTTCGGATAAGATCAGCTCGCCAGAGGACGTTGTAGTTGCACCTGTTCCAACTCGTTAAAGCTGTTTTAGGCGGGATATTGATGAATGTTCCATCAGAAAAATCTCTCTTCCACTTGCGCGCAAAAGCAGCCATTTTCCTCTGGATCACCTTCATCAAGTAGCTGGACCGATAAACGAGGTTGGTGTTTGGGGGGAAAATGTTGGAGAGTGTATTTAGAAGATGTGTCTCTCTTGGTTGCCCTGCACCGTGATGGAGCGGTGTTTGCCCCACAAGGGCGTTCTAGAGAGACCGTGACTTCTTCACACTTGACATTTTCGCTGACAGGGATGCCCCAATTGCTTCGGAATACCTTGTGTACCGCTGGAAAGTGTCTGATGCCCACCTTCCGTGAAGTTTGATCGTGGTTGAGTCGACTCCCGCCGCTAGTAGCGCTGTTGCGCCTCCACTGCGTAGTGAGTGGCATGAGTATCTCGACGCGTCCTCGCCCATTGCTGATGCCGCTCGTTTAATGACCATAGTCAACTCCGTTGCCTGAAGTACGCTCGTCTTGTTGAACGAGCAAATCGGGTCGGTCGATCCGCGATTACTGTTTTTCGCGTGTTCAAGTAGCATAATAGATGCTCTCACCGGGCAAATCGTCAAAAGTCTTGACTGTCGCAGGGTCCTAATTACACCCTGGCCTTGTTGATCCGTCTTGCTTCCTCGAAGGCGGATTTGTACGCTAACAGCGTCCGCACCTCGTTTGGTTATTGTACCGTGCTGGTCAAAGAGTTGGACGTCATCAACTCGTTGTGCGTATCGATGAACGCCTCCTCTCACAGCTACAAATTCTGCACTCCTCAGCAGAAAAAAGAAGCCCAGCACCGCAGCCCCAAAAACGAGGCGGTGCTGGGATTTGTTGAGGTTGAGTTGTTTACCGATCCACGAGAGTATAGTCGGCGTAACTGGTGCTTTTGGTCGTGATACTGGACTGAGCCGTCGCATTCCTGCGATGGCGGTCGCGTGGCCAGTCGTAAGCTGTGGAGTAAAACCGGCGAAGACAGTGTGGAACCATCGGACGTGACTGATCTTTGCTTGGATGGATCGGATGAACTTGACGTTTCCATTGCTATCGGGGCCCCATGCGGAGATCGCAAAGAGAACCAGCTGCGTAGACTGGTCATGTATTGATTTCTCTGGTAGCCAGCAGGACCGTTTGATCTGAGTACAGAATTGGCACCACTCCTTCCACGTGCCGATATACTGGCGTCTGGATGAGTCGGCAAGTGCTCGAACTTGAAGGGCGATGAGTCGCCTGTGTAGATTTTCCGAAATCGTGCTGGAATACAAACCTGCGTCCATGTAGATGTTAGAGAGCGCCATTTGGTTAGCATGGATACGTTAGATCATGCCCGGGAGCCCAAGTCGGCCATGACATTCTGCGACCCCGAGATATGTTCCGCTGATAGACGGAAACTGTGGATTGCTTCCGCGACACCGATTATTCGATTGAGCTCCTGGGAAAATTTATTTTTGCTCTGTAACCGATTGGACCATGCCTCTGCAGACTTGTTGTCGATCCATACACGAACATGTGTGTAGTCTGCATTTTCTCCGTTAGACCATCCTGCATCCCACATAAGCACTGCAAATGCCACACTCAGTTGCTCTCTGACATTTATGCTGAAGTTTCCTTGCCGAATCATGCCCTTTTCTTCTGCATCAAACTGAAGTCGAATGAACTCTCGACGATCTTCATAGAGAACGCACAGACCATCATTGCTTGCGTCCATATAAAGCTGAACAGTAGGTACTGGCAACACTGAGAAGAGGGTCAAGGGGAAACTTCGAAGCTGACCAAGCTGTATAATGGCTTCAAACCATGCGAGATCCAGTTGAGCTCCCATTGTGAGCTTGATGAAACCAAGGCGGGGTGCATGTCTGTACAATGTCATCAGTCTCTGGAAGAACGGTTTTGCAGCGCGTACACACATAGAGACATGCCGGAGGCTGCCAAGTAGTTTTTCAAGTGCATTCCGTGTCGCCGAACCGCGTTCACGCATCGCGCGAAGTCGATCGATGGCCCTGTCAATTTTTTCTTGTGGCATCGAGACCGTCATTGCGACAGTGTCCCACTCCAGTCTTAACGCAGTCAGATGTGTCTCCCAAGATGTAAATTTCTTTTCGTTGATTGACCGTGGCCCTAGCACAACCATCATTGCTAGCCGTAGGGCCCATGCACACGCATCAAGGCGTCCAGGCGTGTCCGGCTCGATAAGCACGTGATCATCAACCCGAACGTAGCTGAAGAACGGTTGATGGTCTGGGTTTGTCAGGATGAGACTTGCTGGGCTTTCGCGGCGAACCAAGAAGGATATTGCATTACCAAATACGCCATAATACGCTGTCGACCCCGTCCAGCCGAATGGTAACGCTAAATCGACAACCACCACACCATGCTCTGGGATGCTTCCTGCAAAAAGTTGGTTAGTTTGTTCATGAACTGGAGCATTCCGAAATGCGGACTTGACATCTCCCTTCATCAGTCGAATCACGACGCCAGGATATTCCTGACGAAGCTCCAATATTCGGCGAGCGATAGCGTCAAAGGATTCATAGGACGACTGGGGAATATCCTTGGCTTTTGACCGATCGTTAGTGGAGCCACCTTGCGGGTATGACAGATCGTGAATAACTCGAGCTTCAATACATGGGTCAATGCCAGGTTTTGGCACGCAGCCAAACGGACTGAGGTGTAAGCCAGTCCATCTTGATGCTGTTTCTGCGTTTACCACCAGGTACGTTCCATTGTCTTGGCCCTCCCGCACGCTTCGTGTAAAGGCCGTCTTCAACGTCCTTGCAGATTTATGGTTCTGGTGGGTCGTCGCCGCTTTCCGCTCAATTTGCCGTTTAGCAAAGCGGTGGTACACCCCACGATCTACGATATACAATAGTAGATCTGCCTCCTTATAGCCGTGCAATAATCACTCAAGATGAGTTTTGTCTAGTGCTTTGTTTGGTCTGGGGTCATCTGTGCTTTGTGCCCTCCACTGTCGAATCGTGGCCTCCAACGTGGTGTTCCTACCTTCGATATACCGGGACACACCACGGACACTAGCATAATTGATATCGGAGGTGGATGGACATTGGAACGATGTACTGGCGCAACCCATTATTTTTTGCCTGGTCTTCGCAAGTCGTGATTCTTCCAGCTGGAGGCGTTGCTCCAGCGCGTCTTGGACTTGTTTTACGATTTTGCTTGTGACGCTGCCGATTGGACAGTGTTTGCTTGTACGGGGAAGGTTGCACTCAGACGAATCACTTGAGGGTCGCGGGAGTCACTTGGTCTCAGATTGAGCACGTGATCCCCTATACCGCTCGCAGACAAACGCATGAACTGACGGTGGGAGACTCCCGACCTCAAAGTGAGCTAGATATGATCTCAAGCAGCGATCGGGAGTCGACGAAGGACAACCCTGTGTTGAAATATACCGTAGGCACAGCTGACGTCCATGCTGTAGAGGTGTCGCACTGAGGACTTCCGCCGGAACCGGCCGCCCCTTTTTTCGTTGCACACCCGCACTTTGGCTACCCAATTTTGCTGGTGGCGACTCCCGCGCTTGTGCATACCCTTCCGACGCTTGTCGGTAGGGCATTGAGTTTCCTCGTGACAACTTGAACAGGATGCTGCTGAGCTCCGCGTCTTGAAAGTTTATCCTCAGAGCAATCTGAGCGCGCGAATTTTGGCCCGAAGTGAGGTCGCTTTGCTCGGCTCTGCGGTATGAGCCGAATACTTTGCTGCACCAGAATGCTAATGCTTTTATCTCCATTGGTGTCCACGGGTCGTAGTCTACCAGTGATTCGGCAAATCGGTGAACGGCGTCCACTAATGATCGGGTTGTGTCTTCACAAAACTCCCCAGCATACCCGTTGAGCGTTGCGATGGCGGACACAAGCTGCATGCGCGTGGGGGTCTTAGGTGTCGGAGGCAGGCTGATCTTGTCAGAAAAATTCCCGAGGTTGACACCTTGCGTATTTGACAGATTGAACTGAGCGTCAAGGTCAAAGCGTACCAGGTGAAGAACTGACAATTCACCCGGTCCGAACTCGAATGAGTACAGACGGCGGAGAATTGCTGGGTGGGGCAGGAACCTTGTCGACTCGGATGTTCGGGCATGGTCTACAAATAACATGGCATCCTTACCTATGTGCCCCACGGACGTGATGGCTTGGTGAATTGTCTGCTGAGCCGCCGTCGGTCGGAATCGAGCGCGGGAATCGGGGCTGGGGTTGACGGCGACTTGGTCCGAAATGGCCGGAAGTCGAACATGGCGTGTGTACTCGTCTAGCGAAGGTTGGTATCTAGGAGCCTGCGCCTCAGCATCTACAGCAGGCGTGGGAGCCGGTTGTATCACTGGTGCCGTCAGTCGTCGGCGTTTTGATGATCGCTCAAGCTGGCTCACGTAGTCTCGCAGTACTACCGGTTTATCGGCGAGCGCTCGAAGAATAGCATAGGTCGTTGGATGACCCAGTTCGTCGTCTCGATCGGCTCCAGCAGCCTCCTTGTTTCCAGGTCGATGTCGGTTTGCTGACTCGGTCTCGGTCACTAATGTTACCAAAAGGTCGTTGAAGTTTTCGTCGTCGTCATCGTTGTCGTGTTGAAGGTCAGAGTGACCCACACGTCTGGCGGGCGTCTCTCGTGGCACGGCACCCCGCCCTACCCGAGCTGTGGGGTCGTTGTTGTAGAAATCCCCAACCCGGACACGTGCTGGGACATTCCTGTTTCCGTCTACATAGAACGCAAAGTCGACTACGTGGCCTACCCGTAACTGGCCCAGGAGACCCGTACGTGGGCATAGCCATGGAATTTGAGACGATGCCTTTGGCATCGACGCCGAAGTTGTGATTCCGGCCAATAACTTGGGAATGCTTCGAGTTCCGCGTTGTCCGTTCTGCCCTAGCAGTCTGTCCAGGATGAGAGCATGTGCTTGATATAGACTGGCAGTGGAGTCTATAGTGAGCAGCACTCGAGCCTTCCACAGTAGAACAGCGATGACAGGGGCGACTTCGGTGACATCGCTTTTTGCCACCAACTTGTCTCCCTCCACGCCGGTCACGTGACTGTGTTACCGTCGTATTCGGTGACTTGACCGTACGTGAAAACACCTTCCTCTGTTACACACACCGCGCGTCGTAGGAGCCAGCCCGGGCCGTCGATAATGCTCTCATCGGGGTCGACTTGCCGCTGCATTGCGAGGTCCCGTGGAACTGAGATGCGCCGACTGGCACCCCCTGCTGGGTCCACTCCCAATCGAATGCTTGCCATTGTGCCAGTCATCCTCTACAGGACTTCCCCGTAGGAAGGTCCCTCGAGGTTTTCGCTGGTAACGTCTTCTGGTAGAATGAGGACGTAAACTCGCGGCATCTTGAAAAAGAGTAAAAGTCCGAAGTTGGAGTTTTTTTGCTGTTGTTTGTTGTGCGGCAAAAAGAGGAATGAGTAAACAATGTTAGGCCTGTCCAGTAACGGTAAAGTCATACTCACCAGGCTCTGGGATAGGAACAGCCAGCCGGGTGACGGAGCTGTCGTGACCCCTGGCTTCGGATAAGATCAGCTCGCCAGAGGACGTTGTAGTTGCACCTGTTCCAACTCGTTAAAGCTGTTTTAGGCGGGATATTGATGAATGTAGTCCATCAGAAAAATCTCTCTTCCACTTGCGCGCAAAAGCAGCCAATTATATATCGTCATTGGTCAACATGGGCCCAACCAAGTTAACAACCTACCGGTAGAAGCTTAAAAAGGTATAAAAGGTGGAGTTCCTTCGGCAACAGTCCGCAGTACACTACTATACAGACTGAAGCATGGGGTCGTTTTGATTAGATAACGGTCCAACAAAGTGTATGCTACATTCTCCAAATCCGAAGATTATATAAGAGTGTAGCCATCTAGTCACTTCAACAAGTGCATTACATCCTCTATATTACTCTTAAAATATATAACAGGTCCTTTAGAGTACCCGCAGCTCAATCTAGCGTCTTCACAAGGCGTCGCTGCCGACGTATGCATTTCTCTCCAGTTGAGGAAGGCACTGGAGACTCTTCGGGCGAAGCTGGTGGTGCCGATGGAGTGACCGTCGAAGGCGTCGAAGGCGTAGAAGGAGTTGTACTTGGCGGCGAAGTCGTGGCACTGGTAGTCTGTCCGCTCGGGCCACCACTTCCCCTCACCAGAATGTCAGCGCACGTCGGATACGTCTGGCTAGCCAGGTCCGAGTGCCAGTAGAACTGCAGCGCGCAATCGCCCGGCGACCGGCACCACGTAACACTTGTGGGGATCGTAGCCGTCGTGCTCGTTTTACCGCTCGAATTCTCGGCGAACGGGTCGATGGTGAGTAGGTTGGCCACAGGCACGTACGTGACGGTGCCGGTGCTGTCGGCTGATGGTTTGACGATACTGAGTACCATAGTACCAGGATGCGGTGCCTGGATGACCCACTCGACGTCAAAGGGTGTGCCGGCAGCAAGATCGGTGACGGTGTTGTTGGCCTCGAAGACACTCCCCCTGCATCCGTTCAAGATGTTGAACGTAGCTGCTGCTGGTCGGTCTGACTGAGCTCTGCTGCTAAGCAGCTCGACCGGTGCGTACTGGAGCTCTTGTTCTCCGGCTTCGCCGAGTACGCCGCTGTCGGCTCGGTACTGTTGCGAGATGGGTCGTGGTGTGGGCTTGGTCATTTGTCCGTGCGCGTCGACTGTGCCTGGCGCTGTTAAAACAGCAAGAAGCGACGTAAAGGATGATAGCTTCATCACCGATATAATGTATTGAGTAGACTACAGTGCGTAGTGCGTAGTGTTGTGTTGAAGGCAAGTTGGAATCTGTAGACACCACGACTCGACGAGTCTGTCTAAATATCCGAAGCTAGATATCATACTGGGGACAATACCCTCGAAAACCGTCGCCACTTGACGGTTATCAAGCCCCACCGACACTATTCGTCCCTGTCGGCAATTCACTATCGAGACCATTGACGTCTGCCTGTGGCCTGAGATGGTGCAATGCTGCGGACACTGCTCGGCCCGTTGTTCTGCTCGAAAGAACCAAGCTAGAAATTCCAGTGGAAGCGCTCGATCCCATCGAAAAACGCCTAAAGAGTTCGCGTCTTCTTCAAATCCACCTGTAGCGTCCCTCAATGGTGCGTATGCTTGAGTCATCGTCTTGTCACGTCCGGAAGCACATTTTAGCGGCGAATAGCCAGGTATGTTCAAAATCTGGAAAGCAGTTAGTTGGTGTGGCGGTTTTCGACCCACCGACGCGACACCTTCAGTTCAGAATGGAAGCGGCCTTTAAAGACAGTGCCATCCGGTCTAGTGGCGTTTGGTTCTCAAAAAGGTTTCAGACGTATCCGTCCTGCCAGTTAAACCAGAAATGTTCCAACAAATTCTATGGTCGGTCAGCCAGCTACCCGTAAAACGAAGGCGTCTGCTGTTCACGAAGCGCCATGCGCATGAGTGGCTAATACACGACATCCTAATGTTCTAGACTGATCGTTGCCACCTGAAGTGAAAGTCTCCAGTCGATTTCTTCATAACGTCATTTGCTCCATCGAGTTCACAAGTCCAACTTTATTCTGCTTTAGCGCAATGCACAGCATGATCCACTACACAGGTCTAGTCGCTCTGCTACTCAGTGGTGTGAGTGCTCACGGATACCTCGGCTTACCAGCTGTCACCTTCCCGAACGATGTCGACAAGACCCAGTTTATCGCCACAATCGAGGCCAGCGCTTCAGGTTTTTCAGGATCGTTCAGTGGGTCGCCGTCGGCCAACACGGAGACCTTCTGGACGGCTTTCAGCTCGAGTAAGTTCACTTCGATCAAGGAATTCGTGACGGCTTTGGGTCAAGTCGTGGCGACTGGCGCCAACCTACAATGTGGACTCACAGATCCCAACGAGACCCCACAGCCTCTTCCGGAACAGATCGAGTGGACTCACTCCGATACGGAAGGCTTTACTTCCTCCCACGAAGGGCCTTGCGAGGCCTGGTGTGACGACACACAAGTGTTTCAAGACACCAACTGCGCCGCACACTTCACTACTGCACCGGCCAAGTTGCCTTACAACAAGGCCGCGTGCTCAGGTGCGAGCCGGTTAGCGTTCTACTGGTTGGCTCTACACTCGTCGACATGGCAAGTTTACGCTAATTGCGCCGCTCTCGAAGGTGCCGGCGGCTCGTACGCGCCATCACATGCAAACAGTAGCGAGTCAACGGGACAGCCGGACACCCCGACCGTCACGACTGCTGCACCAACGGTAACGACGGCCGTGGCTACATCTGCTCCATTAGTATCTGGTAGTACGGTGGCTGACAATGAAGATGAAGAAGACTGCGGTTCTCTCGATGTTGCCGGCAGTGATGACAACCCGGTCGGTGGTGACGCCGACACAGCAGAAGAGGACTGTGGCTCACTGGATGTTGCCGGTAGTGAGGACGATTGTGGCTCGCTTGATGTTGCCGGTAACGAGGAGGACGAGGACTGCGGCTCCCTCGACGTTGCTGAACCTGAGGCTACCACTCTGTCAGAATCGTCGTTGAACTTTGATAGCGTCGGTGGTGGCTACATCAGCGGAAAGGTTCAGCCACAGTGGCAGAGCTAGAGCGTGTTTCTCACTTATCCGTCACTCGTTTACTTAAATGGTAGTATAGTAGTGTATTTTCGAAGACGTGTTGTAGTGTATGTTTTTGATTTGATAAACGAAGAACAACTTCACCACGTTATTTCGGTATCTTGAGTTTACCATGCTATGCCACGCTCCCACAGGGCTCAATAAGCAAAAGAACTGTGGTTCGTTGACGATAACCACAAAGCTACGCTCGATAGGAAACTTTAAAACTAGTTTATCGTGCTTTTCAGCTCCAGCCATTTGTCCTTTCAGATTTACTCACTCTCAGGCGACTTGCCTTTTACCAAATGGCGGTCGATTTAAATTTACATCTCTCAGTATACCGTGATTCTGGTCGAAATATACATTCAATGATCACGGTGGTGGACTTTGACAGAGATACAGCGATCGCAGCGGAACCAGGCCTGAAAGATGGGGATTTATTGGAAATTATTTACTAATGGGGGTCATGCCTAAGCACTGGGTTGAAACTGTCATTTACATCATAAAGTAGGGTAAATAGAATAACATTCCGGTGATTTAGCGTCTGAATTGGACAAAACGGGTGGCGATTTCAATAGAATATTATTAATATGACTTGACGCCCTACCCTCGACGCTCTTAGGAAGTATCAACGCCCTTTATCCTGGTAGTGCTACGAGTAGTAGTACGTACAGTCCAATAAGGATTAATTTAATGGTGGTGGCTTCTATTTGGGTATGCTTTATCCTTACCATGCTAAGCTTTTGAACGGTTCTATCAGAATTATGTGGTTGAAGTGCTAGCCAATGCATAGCCAGGCCTGACGTAAAGCGAGTCGCCAGGCGAGAGCTGTACGGCGAAAATTAAGTCATATCTGCAGAAGTACGTGCAGTACAAACAACATCAATGCTAGTGAGCGTTGATTTTGGCGTCAGTTTGATAACAGGAGCCACGAACATGTAGTAGCGTCCAGCGATATTGGGGCCAATCACGTAGCGTTGAGCGATAGCAAGCCACAAGTCAGTTGTACAGAACAGTTGCGTACACGATGGGGATCGAAAATGCATTGCTTGGATATGTCGTCAAGTTGTTGTCTAGAAGATCAACTTTGCCAAGTCCAGCGCTGCTCTCAACAGTATCATAGCATACCATGCAACCATTGTTAGATTGTGTTTCATTGCTCACATTTACATTCTCAAAACTTACGTCCCGGATATGTTTGTTAATACTGTATCGGTGACGCATCCACCCCAAGACGGTCACATTTGCACAACAACAGACCTTCAGTATCAACAAGAGCGCTGTGACCACGCACACGGATCAGTAATCGATGAGATGGGTAGATTGTAGAGCACTCGATAAGTAGATAAGTAACAGCCGCAACAGCTCGCTCACCACTGTGGCGACGGAGTATGGCGCGGGGCCGCCGCAGCACGTGAGCCAACTGAGAATTTGCAGTTGTGAGAGAATATGAGAGATACTTCTCGCTGGATTGAATGTGACCACGTCTCAAATAATAATAGCTCTCTTAATCGATTTACAAGTGAATTATTTCAGTAAAAGCAATAAATTAATAAGTAATCGTGTCTAGTTTTAAAAATAAGGTGTTAAAATTTGCTACATGTAAAGCGGTAAGAGCAGTTAGTAGACAATACTAAGAATAAAACGCAGGACAACGAATCCCTACCGGGTGATTCGAAAAGACTACAAATTTGTAAGTTTCATAAAAAGTAGAGCTGCGTAGTTTGTACCCGGAAGGGCACGTAGGATCACGAGCAGAGACCGTGCGTCTTCCGTGTAGTTTAAATGAGAGTGGTGCCGAATTAATTCCAGTTTAAACGTGATATATTGTTAGCAGACGACTTTGATACTTAGGTATTGTGCACCGTTTGGAGACAGATCGCCGAAGAAATAAAGGAAAGGCCGTACCATTCTGATAAAAGACGGGCTAATCTCGGGTGACATTGAGATCCGCTCTATTACCGTCGGAGAGGGATCTGCCATCCCTTACGAGCCGGCGACTTCCCGTTCCGCAGAACTCCAAAGCTGGTTTTCTAATGTTTTGATCGGACACAGCTTCATCTCGCTTCACGGGTAGTTATTGCTCACGGTCCTCCCCTTCTCCTCTGCCGCGGTCCCAAGTGTTTCGATGCATAGTTACATTCGTTCAGTTTTTGACCACCTTGTTAAGCACTACCAGTCCAACCCTCTTGTTTTCTATATAATAAATACTTCGTTTGTTGTGCGAGGATAACCCTCCGTTTATAGCCCAATTAAGAGCATAAACCAGACATAAAAACGAGAAGGGAATGGGCAAACAGCGCAGTCCTGGGGCCACAGCACTAGACAAGCTGTTTGAAAAGAGAAGCAATGACTTCTCAAACGGTGGCACTACCTATGAGGCATTGCAGATTGTATCTACAATGCTGTGGGCGCTTATTAGCGTCCTGTCAGCTCACCATCCGCAGCGCCTATTAGCACTGTAAGAATTGGCGCATATTGATCATCTTCTAACCTCAACTCCGGCATCGTGCCTGATCTTTTCCTGAGCAGAGTATTCGAGCCTGCCGGATATCACTGCTCCTTTGCAGTGCCCGACCATGTTATCATTGGAGGGTGCACGATCGATAAGCTACTATAGTTCAGCATCAAATACAATAGATTGGCGCTTGTAGTGCTGCAACTCGAATCTGGATCTTTGTGATCTCAGCAATCATTTGCTTGACCACCGAATCGGAGCTCTTGCTGAATCTCGGTACCGTGTGGGCGAAGCGGGGTCAGCGCTTGCGCTGGCTAAACCTCGGTGTTGTCTGGTGCTCTGGTAGATTCTTCGATCTTGACTCTGGCACCATTCGATTTCCCTCACCGCATGTGACAGAAGTCGCACCCGTACAACTGCCCACTACGCCGCGAGCGCCCGCATTGAAGAGTCCCATGGCTCTCAGGATGAACCTTTGCTTCATGTTTAGACATAAGGGTCGAGTGAAGAAAATGTCAACACAGAGCGGGTGGATAACTAAAAGCGCTTCTGTCTTTCTCGAGGCAAGGTCTTGTCTCGGAACATCGACCCTTTCTTCATCTGGACCCGCGCTGATAACATGTATATCGGTCATGTCGCGTTACTCAAGGTGTTCCACAAGCTGATATCTCTACATCCCTGTGGAGGAATATGTTTGGGGTCTTTTTCCTGGTCACTCCCCCTCCACGCGGCTGGAGATGCCATTAGCGCTGCGTCACGCTAACCTCACGGAGTCATGCCATTCAGTCATGGTTTACAATGTTACCGGAACGCGATGATCTAGCGGTTTTTCTGAAGCCGCTATCAATATTATTACTCGCCTCATGCGTCGGATAAATCCAATAAAGAGTTCAGCAAGAAAACGAAACTCTGTCGTGATTAGTAAAATCATGTATGCAATGCTTGTTGTTCCTGCCCCCCCTCCATTTTGTTTTGCTGTTGGGTCTTTCAACGGCGCTGATTTTCGGTGCTGTTCTTCAAGACTAAAAATCAAGCTGGGAGATTATGCTCCCGCTTATCCACAAAGCTCGGGATAACCGTAGCCAAGCTGGGTAGGCAAGTTGATGGGTGCTCAATCATGCACGGCTACCAGCAATAACACGATATTTACCCAGGTTTCAATCATATACGCTTCATATTTTCTCATGAGCCTGGACTACGCTTTCCGGTATAAGATCGGAATGCATCTTGATAAAAGTAGAGCTCTGTACCGCGGAGACGCTTGGGCGCGTTTCCAGATGCTCGTTTACAAGCGGTAGTATATCAAGTATGGTATATTTAAGATCCGCTTTGAATGGAAACGCTTAGTAGAGGCGCTTACTGTCGAGGTCACGGCAAATTCAGCGTTTGTGAGGTTGGGTTACCAGGCATCTTCCAGCAGCTAAACAAAGTATCGAAGATATTTCTCAATCGCGCGATTCAAATGCTCCGGTTGTCCGTCATTGTGAGGTCGATGCGCGACTCTCATGCTGATCTCAGTCCCAATGGAATTAAAAGTGTGTTGCTAAACCTTGAAGTTGAATTACCGAGCGTGATGCGAAAACATGCTCGTAAATATATTGCAAGCTTCCAGACATGGCCGGTCAAGAGACGGGCAACGCTTTGGCTTTATCCCTCTTACGTGATCGGCTTGAGATGACATCGCTTCGCCAAACTGGCAATGCCAGTCCGATGAAGTCTACAGCACACTTGATACGTGGAAAGTTGGTGATAAAGTCTATGAGATTGATCTCCACCACCCCTTATGCACCCCCAAAAGCCCGGAGAGGTTGATAAGCCGAGGCTTGCTCTCACTTCCACGGCTCACAACTGGCATTGAGCTTCTGGGTGAGCTTCAACATTGTGGATCAGAGCCGACTTCTCACGATTATCAAGTATGAGGGTTCAGCACCCAAATGTCATCCGCCGATGGGGTCGTGGCACTCGCTACTAATCACACGCTGCAACGTCATACGGTTTGGGCGCTACAACAGGCGGCAGGTAGCTTGATGGAAATTGCTGCCAGAACAAGCCATTGGCGGCGGAATGGGAGCAACATTTCTTGAAGTACTAATAAGTTATGTTGAACTCGTATTCGCGACTTGTCTTGCTTCTGCCAATACTGGAATTTCGTCGCGGTCTATCTCAAATGCCTCTTTACGAGCTTGACATTTCACTGATGAACAATCTGAATGAATTGTCGCTATAACCGGTCGCGATGCAGTCGTGAAGGATCTTGTTCTTTGGCGGAAGGTGGGGTTTCAGGCACAGCGTCCATACATTGCTTCCATCAGATACAAGCACGTTGACGAATATTCCGCGAAAATGTTGTACAGGGTAAGCCGACAGCTAGCCGTCGTCTGGGTGAACTAACCTTTAAAACTATTGCGAATGATTTCGGTAATCGGGGTCTTGTCCAAGAAGCGGGTTCGAAAGGCTACAAGTGAAAAATTATGGCTAAGCGCTTCTGCCGACACAGCTTAGTCACACTGACTGCTTCTTCCGACTAGTGTAC